TACTAATTTTCCATCCACATTATCAGTAGCTTTCATTTTCAAATGCGAACCAACATATCCCAAAATATCCAGAAGGTGGGAAACATTTGAACTCAGTGTACTAGTATTGAGTTGACATGCATTTTGCACTGATAAACACAAATCTAATAATCTTAATGTGGGAACATTTTTTGTTGAGTGCAACTGTTCTGATCCAGGGTATTTAAATAATGTCTTTGGACTGACTTGTTTTTGCATGGTGGAGCAGGAATGAGCGATTTAGGTCACATGCAAATGTCTTGCTTGTAATATTTTCAGCATGTGTTGATCCATCTGGAGCTCGCAGCAGAATAATAAGCACAAGCCTGGCTAGCATGTGCCGACATTCAAAAGGCGGCAAAGACATGCTCAACAGCTAAAGGCATTGTGATGTAACTAAAATAGGCTTAATTATATCAAATGTCTTTATTCTTAAATTAATAGATATCGGAACACTATCCTTGTCGTTAAAACACAAATATTTGGACATGTCACTTGTTGAATCGTGCCTGAAATAAAGGTTCAAGTCAGCAAATGTACACACACTTGCTTACACATGTTACAAAGTGGCCTAATTTGGTATAACATCGTGTTTTTCAGTGATGATCGCTGCAGGGAATTATGTCTTTGCGCCCTGTGTTGCAAGACAAATTAATTAAACAAGACTTTGGGTCGTGATCACACATGTCACGTTACATTTCAACGCGAGGATCCCCACGCTGAGTGAGTGCAAGGCTTCATCTAATTATGGAAAAGTTGTCAAGGCGTTGGCGCTCCTGCTTGGTATCTGCGCGTGGTACCCGCCCGAGAAACAACAGGCTGTCTTAAACCTGCGCCCACCACGGCCTCTCAGGCTAAAACCTGTGCGACGTGCAGGCCTCACGAACTGTCTGCGAAACGGAGGCGTCTCCTTGAATTACTCACAGAATCATTCATGGCAACAGCAGAACGCTATGAGGCTGAGGTGCTTTCTTGATAATTGTCCTCATTCAGTCCACCACCAGCCAGGCAGGGCACTGAATTTGCTGAGAAATAAAGGTCACTTGGTGTAGCAACTTGTGTTGTCTCACACCATGAATAGAACCCAAACTTTTGTATATACAGCAGAGAAGGTTTAAGTCCTCATAATAGACAAATACGTTGACAAAAATGAAGGAAAAAGTTCAATTAATTATATTTTTTATGTCAGGGTTACCAATCCTGTATTGTTGTCACTGTGTGGTGAAATGTCAAAGCAAAGGTCATGGCTGAAGCTCATAATAGGCTCAAGCACAATTCAATACTTTAAAAATGTGTCCACACCATGCTACTCTAAATGGCACGTTTTCTAAAGGTTGTAAAAAAATACAAATAAATTAGGAACAATAACAGACTTACTTAATTCAAGGACTTTCAGGGCCAGACTTCTTCAAATGTAACATGACATAGTTGGAAACACGGATCAAGATGAATTACCGTTGCACGTTCTCAAGGCAGCTGAAGTGTGAGTGACGCAACTGCAGGAGACACATGCAGACAGTGGCGCGTAGAATATTAACATTAAGTATAAAATAATAGCAGAACTAAAAGCACCTGTAAAGCCGAGTGGCTGTTCAAGGTGACTGTAGAGTCCCAGGTTTGAATCCAAGCCTGGGGCAAAGATGCCTTGTCCTTTTTTTTACCATCTCAAAATATCAAAGATAAAATACATTACATAGTCGTAGTCCTAATAAGTGAAGTCACAGTATAAACAATGTCTTGGTTTAACATTTGGAAACCTATATTCAAGAATAAGATATGACTAAGCCTCTCTAAATGTTACACACAACATTGTTGTTTTTAGTCTAAAATGTCTTGTTTTTCCAAGAAGATCTTTATATTCATGAGTATCAAATGTTACTAAAGCTATATCCTTCACTTGATCAGATATTTATTCTTGCCTTTAAGTCTGATTCTCTATGCAACAGATATTCAAAATTACAAGAAAGCATAGCATAATTTAACCCATTAGCCGATTATAGAACACTATAATATCACATACGTTTTGTCCAATTTACCCATCATCATCTCGGACTATATGCAGGATATAATGACCTAGTAATTCAAAGACAGGAATAATACAAGAGTCTGAACTATTATATGTATATGGAGATGTAGCTGGTGAAATTTGAGTAAATGCATTGATTTATAGTTGGGCGTATTTTTCCTTTTAGAGTAATTATCTTGTGTCATTATATGAATACATTAGCGACGAAGGTAGCGGCAGAACTACAGAAGGAACTAATTGCGTGGAGAGATAATAATAGACAAATGTGTGCATTCAAATAATTATTTTTCACACATGTTACCGTATAGTGCATTTCACTGATGTCTGCTCAAACTATATGTTAGAGCATCCTCTGCTGGTCCTTTATAGGATGTTGCTCTTCTTCACAAACCTGCAAATTACAGCCACTACAAGTGAAAGATATTCATTAAAGAAGAAGGAAATACAAATAATAGTCAACAGAGTACTTAAATCAGTATATCTGCAATATTTCTTCTAAGTGAAATACAAATGAAATATATTGTTAAAGGACATACATAAAATGATCAAAGGATGGGTCCTGAGAGGAAATGAAATGATGCTGTCTGAACTATGCTGACGTGACACAGAAATGCAAGCAGGACATGCTAAGAGTGTGATGGTGGCCGCCTGCCGGGGCAGATGGGAAAGTGTTTTTTGGGCTTAATGCCAGACAGGCGACAGGGAGGATGGGTAGACAGGCGATAGTCCCTCGGGGGGTTTACTGATTGGCACTGATCACAAGGTCTCAGCAAGGTGCCATTACATGTGAGACTGTAAACAAGGTCAAAGTGATGTCGGGTTACAGCTGCCAGTCACCGGCTTGGCTGCGACCAGCAAGGTGCCGCGGAGGGCCGAAGGGCGAGGGGGGAGAGGGAGAGACAGGGGATAAGATAACAGCCCTGTCTCCTACAACATAAGGTTCCAAACTGAATCCTCAATTAGGTTTCAAGGGAAACATATTTTCTCCCGTATTACAGATTTACTGAAAGTTAGCTTTAGCAAAGTAGCATAAATACTTATTCCCAACCAGATACATGTGCCTCAGGAAATAAGTAGCTCAACTAATTTGGAAATAAATAAATAGTACTCAAATTAAAGAAAAGTATCAACATATTGAGTCAGCTACATGTATATCACCTGATGGCACATATTGTGAATGCGAGTGTGAAAAAGCTAGCAAGCTTCCAAAGTGTACAACATTAAGCTAAAACAGATAGCTAAAGAAATTAACTTGTTCAGTTAAAAGGAAAGGAAACATGTTCTATTTAGTTAGCTGTACAGGATAAATGGTGAAATGCTATAAGTATAGGATGAATGGTAAAATAGACTTGAGAAACAGATGAAAATAGTGAACATTTTTAGCATTATTGATAGAAAAAGATGTCTAAATTAGCAGTTCATAAAGCTGTCTAAAAGTAACTGATACATGGCTAAGCTACCTAGCTCAAGTCATATATTTTGTTAGAATATATAACATCTGACACTAATGCAAACTTGACCAAACCATCTTAACAGTTCAATGACATAGAAGGATACCACTAAAAGTATTAAATATCATTCTATTAAAACAGTTGGCTCAAAGAAATACATTTGGATCATGACTGGTGATGTTGTTGTTGTTGATTGTATACTCAAGTTCATTTGACAGGGCTGTGAGAGTGTATATCTTTTGAAAACAATAACCAATGATACCTGGTACACAATCCATTCTTTATATTTTAATATAAGTCCTTGTATGTATTTGAGTACTGATACACTATTGATGGCCTATAGGCTGCCGACTGCATGGTGCTGACATTGAGACATATTGATCATCATGTCAGAGTGGCGGTTGCCCAGGGCTGAATTAAAAGGGAGAGTGAAGCAAGAAGCAAAACAAATGTTTGTCTCTCCAAACCCTGCCTGGGGCGGGACGCTCAGCGCTCAACGCTGACTGGTCTGCTTGCTTCTCTATTGATTTCAGACTGGGCTGGGCTGCGGGCCAGCCAAAGGCCTCGGGTACTGACTGTCTGGCCTCTGATCGATTGAGTAATGAAAAATCATCCTCAGTTTAAAAACAGACAGACAGAAAATACACTATTGGATCATGAAGCAGTTTGATTTAGCCTCTGCTTTTTGTGTGGCTTGCACACATCACTTGTTCTGTGGTTCACGTAGAGCACCTGTGAATTAGTTTGAATATATGAGAGCATGAAAATAATAAAGATTGATAGCAAATGTGGTACTTAATTATTTAGTATGTGCTAATGTAGATTTAGTCTCTGTTAGAGTCTGATGTTTAAAAAAACAACAAACATTTGCACATAGAGTTATAATGAAGCTGTAAGATAAAACAGGATCAAGTTTACAGCATTGATATAATTATATTTCAAAAACAATGTACTATTACACAACTGTATAAAATGTGATTTACAGATTTTTATCTTGTTGTTATATTTTTTAGTATAATGTAAACATTTTCACTTCAACTTCTCTATGTTTATTTAAATATTCGTAATTAATGTAAGATTTTTTTTATTGAAATATCGAATACCAGTCCAAAATAAATCTAATCCCCCTGGAGAGAAAGTACTTCTGATACTTCTGAGTGTGATAATAGGATTCTTATTCACTGACATTGGCCACCAGAGGCAGCCAGAGTACCATAAGCCGCATTTCACAACCACCCTGCAGAGCGTTTTGATGTTTTTTAAATAACAAACAAGCGACAATGTTTGCCATTTACCAAGGGAGTTGATGTCACCATGAGAGTAAATGGACAGTTTAAACATTCTGTCTTGCACTGATGAAAATACTACAGTGTGTCCGTCGTTATAAAAACTTTTGTTCACAGTATTTCTGTGAGAAACTCAATTAGAAGTACCCATTTATAACCAAGCCTTATGCTCAAACGCATCATTGTCTTCTTAGCAGAAATGAAGTGACCAGACATATAAAACATTAATCAAAACCATTTTAATTTGACAAAACGTTTTCGGATTATAGCTGACAATCATGAAGTCACTGCTTTTTACAGTAAAACTAACTAACTAGGTCTTTCCCCAGATATATTATCATAAAATCGAATGTGATAACAGCCACAAGTGCAATATTTCACAAGTTCGGCAAACGGCTTTCTTTTCACGTTTTATAAGCTTTCTTAATTTCAGCAATTTTTTAATTAACTATTTGTTAAAATGTATTTTCAAACTACCATAGGCAGACATCACAGACATAAAGCCTACCTCTATGTGTTGCCACCATTAATTTCACAGAAATATATCATTGAGAAAATTATACGCACAGCCTTGCTCCTATCCCAACATCATGTCTTGTGATTATGTTGCATTCAGTAGTTACCCTACACCCCCTGGCCTCATTCTGTTGTCCAGTGCATTACAGTTTGCATGACTGCATAGTCATACTGTCCTCCGGCCAGCTGTACGAGGCCACAGCAAACTCATCATAATCAGTGCTGTAGGTGAGTGAGTGCACGTATGCTTTCTTGTCGGACGGCTCCGGGTAAAGTGTTGCCATGTTGTGCTTATAGGCATACTCGATGATCTGTAATGCAAACATTTTGAGGATTTAAGTTTGATCTGTTTCACAAGTCACTATACAATTAGACTCTTACAGCTTGTGAGGTACATCTGGTCTTTGTTGTGTGTGCACTGAGCTCTCACCTTGACAGCTAGTTTGAGAGAGACCTCCCTGATGGAGCTGAGAGGAGGATACAACCGTCCCTCTGCCAGGTCCTTCTCTGTCACCAGGTCAGCCAGAGCCTGTTTAATGGTAAACACACAGCTCAGGTTTACAGTAGAGAGGAAAATCAGCCGAATTCTTCCAAACCCAAATAATCAGGAAAATGTCCCAAAGGACCGAAAGTCTATTTTCCAATGGCCCGTTTTTCACAGTTTACAGCACCAATCTCTTTCTCTCTCTGGATATACGTATATTATACAGCAAAACTACACTGTCGTTGTGTATATGATATTACAAATAAAAAATGGCCCATTTTTCTGACAAACGCCCATCCAGTTTACAGCACCAATCTCTGTCTCTCTCTTTGTATATGTTATACAGTTAACTAAGCCTTAAAGTAGTTACGTCTTTATTCCAATGCCCAAAAGTAAAAAAAAAAAAAAAAAGAGACCCATTGGACCAAAAGCCGATTTGTCTAATGGCCCGTTTTCCTGATAAACGCCTATTCTTTACAGTTTCGGTTTTCAATGTCATGCAGTTAACTTAGTGTTAAAAGACTTGAGCCCTTATTCATATCCCTAAAAGTCAAACAAATGTGCCATCGGACTGATATAACTTTCAACCAACTCAATTTCAGAGACAAATATTACACTTTCATTTATATACAGCTCAGTTACAAGTTTTATATCAAACCTGATGAGCTTATATATTATGAACCACTGTTATATCTTAACCATAACCCTAACCCCCACCCTAAAATTAGATCCACCATGACCAACTACAGTATTACAATCAGTAGTACAAACCCAGCCTGCCTGTATACTATCCATTCCTATCCTTCTCCAACAAACTATTGAAATCAATACCTACATTAAATGCGGGACTTTTTTTGTAAAATTATTATTTTACAGTCTGGTATTGCTACCTTTGTACAAATTCTAAATATTTCTGTCACTGTCAATAATACCATATACCATGAAAGGCTCCAGGCATTCATTAAATACCAGTGGAGTGCAAAGTATAGGTCCGGTGACATCATGAGTAATTATATTACACAATTGATTGTACAAATGCATGCATTTATTTAAAAAGGATATCAAAGATTTGAAAAGTTTTAAATGAACTGTTTATGTCAGTGCGTTACCTCTGCTGAAGTGAGGAAGATCTCCTCAGTAATATGTCGGATGGCGCAGGCGATGACCCCCAGGCCCACACCGGGGAAGATGTAGGCGTTGTTTCCCTGACCAGGGTAGAACGTCCTCCCATCAGACAGGGTGATGGGGTCAAATGGGCTGCCACTGGCAAAGATGCCCCGCCCCTACAGGACAATGAGTGATGGCAATGTATGTATTTATTTTAAAATAAATGTTAATATTATAACCATTGATAATGTTTTCAGTTGGGTTTGTTATCTGTTTGTTAGCAGGATTACAGAAACAAATACTGAACCAATTGTCATGAAACCAAGTGGAGAACTGTAAAATGGGCAAAGGGGAACCCATTTAATTATGGAGCCATTCATTACTTTTACTAATGAGAAAAGCCTTGGCCCCTCTGGGTAATATTAATAGCTTGTTTCACATATTCACTAGCAATGAAACCATTTATAGCTATGTATTCAGGGTCGCAACTAGCAATTGTTTTCTATATCAATAACAGTTCAGAATATTATCTAGATTAATAGATTAATCGTTTGGTCTGTAAAATGTCAGAAAATAGTTAAAATGTCCATCCCAGTTTCTTAAAATCCACGGTGAAGTCTTTAGGTGTTTTGTTTGTCCAAAACTCAAAGATTTCCATTTCAATATAACATAAAACAGAGAAAAGCGGGAAATCTACAACACTTTCAGCCATTATTGCAAGACAATAACTTTAACTTTATTGCTTAATGGATTATGAATAAGTAGGCGATAAGTTGACTACTATTACTGCCATGAAGAAAGTCTTGAGGGAGTACCTGTGTGATGGTGTAACACTGCTCAGCAGTGCATTCAGCTTTGCTGGTCGGGTTGCTGAGGGCGAAGATGATTGGCCGCTCATTGAAGGAAGCCATGTCTGCGATGATCTGCTCAGTGAAGGCTCCGGCAATAGCTGCCACACCTGAGACAGGAAGCAGTTAGACATGAGCAATGCATTCTAATTCAGTCTGCTTCTCTCAGAGCTCTCCCTTATTTTGGAATGTTTTAAAAGTTGGTTGTATGAGTTACCTATCCATAGTAAGTGTATTAGCTACAGTAGAAGGCAGTTAGCACGCCCCCAATTTTGGAGAAACAGACTCCTAAAGCCACCTAAAATGCTGCTAACTGTCCTTTCTTGCATCCAATCCATCAATGTCATCTATCAAAAACCATTCTGACAATATGTTCAACATATAGCTTCAAACTTGCGATCTGTCTGTCTTTTGAAAACATCTAATGCTTGTTATTGTTTTTTGTTACCAATGATGGCTGTGGGTTTCAGTTCATGAACAACATCCTCGAGTTTGCTCATCTGTGGGTGCTCATGAGCAAACCTCTCCTTCTCATGAGTCAGGCTGTCCCGGCCCTGCGGATTTGGAGAGGAAGGTTGAAGAGGAGGACATTAAACACATGAAACCATATGTGGAAAATCATTGACACTTTAATTGCTGAAGGAATTAAAGATTTCTTCAAAGTGTTCCTCTGAGCAAAAGGATCCCGAGTTGGAAATCAGTGAGAAAACAGAAGGTCAAATGTAATGAATATGAAGTACAGAGAAAGGATGAAAAGGACAGAGAGTGGTATTGGTGGAGTTGAGGGGGCAGTGGTAAAGATTGGATTTAAGTACAGAGGATGCGAAGGAGGAAAGTGGGATGAATAACGTGGATATGGTAGAAAAAACAGATGTTTAGCAGATGTTAGTGTAGGAGCCTTTTGCTGTGATTCCAAGGACAAAACCTGTGTTATAAACTAGAAAATGCATTTCCTGCTGAAAATGCGTGTGAATGCTGTAAACAGCATTCGCACTAATTAACTTGGTAAATGTTTTTTCCTCATTGTGGAGGTAACTGACTTCTAACGGCTTGGGAAAATCCTCCTTTAGAGATCCTGAACCTGTTACAAAAACCTGTGGTGTTTGTGATATTCAGGACTTTGGGATCCATTTACTAACTTCCTACTGAACTATTGATTCTGGTAACCTAATGGTCAGATTACATTGGATAAGTTTAGTTATGCAATGTGAAGTATTTGATCGTGACACCTTGACAATGAGACCCTTGGAATCCACCATCCAGATCTTTTTCAGACACTCTTCCTTAGCGAGTCCCTCCTTCTCCATGGCCATGGTGATCAGCTCTGCAATCCCCATCGCTGCCTGGGAAGACAAAGGGAGGGATAAAAGAGCAAATGCATCAGGAGGGTTTTTATTAGATCACCTGTGCGCATGGTGTTAGGAGTGACCCATTATTTTAGAATTGAGATTTGCAAATATCTAAATATGAACTCTTGTGGTCAGTCTTGCTATAAGTGTGCTGCACATACCTCCCCTGCTCCTTGGAACACAATGGTATGGTCACACATTTTGCTCTTAGTGATGCGGAGAGCGGACAGGAGTCCAGCTACTGCCACAGCAGCAGTACCTGAGGAGTATTACAGACACACACTTAATATACTCTTACTGACATTCTTCATAAGTTCTGTGACACTCATGTTACTACTCATGTTACTGCTGTATGTTCAAGAGTGATAGAGAACAGTGATTAATGAAACGACATAAGTAAGATCGAAGAAAGACCAGTTAGAGTAAAATCTGATGTTTCCTTGCTGTATGGCAAATAATACAAAATAAATTAACAAATAAAACAAAAAGCAACTTAATCTATATAGTATAGCCCGCATTTGAATAATTGCATATTAACCTAATAACACCATGGCAAACTTATTTATTTATATCTGACATATGTTTGTTTTTTTGTTAATCTTTTAAGCTCTAGCCTTATGTAAAAAACGCCTAAATAACATATACAAAATTAATCAGGAATATGCCTTGTAGAAATGTTTTGAGAAAAATAAAAAGCTGAATCCCCCATTTATCATAACAGTATGATATCCATATGTATATATGGATATGAGACAATGGCCATCAATGGCCATCTGTGTGTGAGTGTGTGTGTGTGTCGTTTTGTTACCTTGAATGTCATCGTTGAACGTGCAGTACTTGTTGCGGTACTTGCCCAGCAGACGGAAGGCATTAACATTTGCAAAGTCCTCAAATTGAATCAAACAGTTCATTCCATACCTGTAAGAAGACAGAAACAAAGAAATAAAGGATATAAGTGAGCTATTTTCTTAATTTTTAAAAGTCATAGTTTGATAGTTTTCTGCACACTCAAACACACACATAAACACATGTAGAGAGAGAGCTGTCTCCACTTTAAAAAGAAACTGTATTGCAGTCCTGAGGGGGGCGCTCTCTCACCACATAACACATCACAGGGTGAGACATTAAGAAATGTGATGCTGGCTTCTCAGTGGAAAACATTTTTAACAATGTATTTCATTCAGATTTCTTGAAGTTGAATTTAAATATTTCGAGATATTAAGAGGAATACACTTGAGTGAGACTTCATGTTTTAAGCTTAATTTAAAGTCACATAACTTGTTCTTGTTAAATAGGCATTTGACAAGCTGACACCTGTTTTCCCCAAATTCACAAAGGGAGGATAAACCTGCATAAAGGAGCCCACCCAGTCTCCCAGCAAAGCAGCCGTGTTCAATTTAACAAGATGCTGCTCAGACCACCTATCACAGTCAATACTGTGCTAATAAGCTCCTACAAAAGGTCAGCATTATGGGTCTTTAAATTAGATTTAGCAGCGCCAGAGAGGAATCCCGAGTTCCCATGCCTGTCAACATATGGGACTTTTGTTCAGGAATTTACTGGAAGTTTTCAAAGGGACTGCTGCTGCTTTCCAAGATGAGAGACAGGGGTTCAGCTGCAGGAAAAGCAAAGTACTACCTGGTGTAAGCTAATGGCAGATACGTAGATCTAAAATATGTCATTTCATTATTTAAAAAGATACATTGAGAGTGGCTATTACTACAGTAAAAATATAGTCTTAATTATTTTTGTAATACTCAGCATTAAAGGTGGGGTAGGTAAGTTTGAGAAACCGACTCGAGATACACTTTTTGTTATATTCCATGGAATGCTCTTAACATCCCGATAGCAATGAATATTTTAAGTGCTTTGACAAAAAATCCATAAAAAAATGTCATCTGTGGAAGCCGTAGTACTGTAAAAAGCACGACCAATCATTTTAGCCAGCTCGGCTAAAATAACTGGATGGCCTACCTGCCTGTCAGCCTTCCATCTGTGCACAAACTTATCTCGTGCCCTCATTGGTCATGTGCGCGTTTGTGTGTGTTGGAGGAGGGGCTCTATAAGGAAGTGGCAGATTTTTTCCGGCTGTGTATTTTCAAAATCTAGCGCACTCAAGCTGGTTTCTCCAAAATGACCTACCCCACCTTTAAATACCAATTTGCCACTATTGTAAACTTTCGCAGCCTGAAATGATAACCGTCACTATCAGATGTTATCAGCTCTAGCTACCTAGCTAAGTTAGCAACGTTAGTTTTATGATTTTAGAAAAGGATTTTACTCGAAGGATTGATTAGCATGTTAGCTAAGGTAACAATATCTAAGATAGCAAGTTGCTGCTGAAGTGATATCAAATCCACAAAATTGGTGAGGGAAAGCAGCTGTTCCGTAAAGTTAAATTCTGGTGGTAGAACTGGCTTCCGAGTGGGGAAACACTACAACAGTGGATGTGCTGTGTTACATGTTAATCTTTTCATATTACCCAAAACTTCACCAAATGTAGTTAGCTCATGAAATGCTAATTGGAAATAATGCTGATTCAGGTTGGACTTGCTAGATTTTGCGATTTATGTTAGAGCAGATAACTATTCTGTATTATCCATTGCTAACGCTTTTGCTCCTGATATTCGCTTCCAAAGATTGAAATAAAAACACCATCCACAAAGCTCTTGCAATACTGTGCATTGCTCCTACAGAGTGCTGCAGGGATGACAGGTTTTTGAAGCTAACATGGAAGCTAGCATAGCCCTAGTTCCCTTGCTAATTGTACTTTTCCATATCATTTTGATTATTGCAGAAAATAACATCTGTGGCAAACAAATATTATGATAGCCTACTCAAACACTTTGTTTAACAAGATAATCTTCATAAATGAATGCCACTTAAATCTACACCATGGTCACATGACTTCCCTTCACCACCATTTCCAATTTGTAATTTGATTTTGCAATGGTGAAACTAAAATACAATTCGAAAGTACTATACAGTAGCTGGATATATCTGCTAGTTGAAGGGTTGGAATACTTGCAAAAGATGAGTAGTGATGATGTTTAATGTCCCCCACAACCTCGTTTATTTTTCCCATTTGTTAGCAACCACTTTTTTTGCAAGACACCAACGAAAAATATACAAAATGTACAAGAGGAGTACTACATTGCATATTGTTTGTATTGAAACAGAATGTAAAAACCTATTAAGTTTGTTTTAACCCTATTTGAGTCATTCAACCAAAAAAGTGTAAAATGCTTGGGGTTTAAGGAGTAGTTCTTGTAAAACTATTACAGCTCCATGAACAACCTTTCAGCGCATACAAACCTGACACACCTGCTCTCCCTAGTTAAATGAGCTGAGCGGTGATTGGACAATCACTGTTTGGGGAGGGGTTCCTCAAATGTTAGTTGAAAGGATTGGTTTTAAGATGTTTGAGGAAAACCCTTGCAACGGAGTACTTTACAGTACAATAACTACATGAAAGCTGTCTCAAGGATGTGACTGTATATATTAGAAACAATGGGAGGAAAGGGTGAGGTCTGTCTGTCTGTGTGTCTGTCTGTCTGTGTGTCTGTCTGTGTGTCTGTCTGTATGTCTGTCTGTCTGTGTGTCTGTCAGGGGGGAGGTTTGAAGTTCTTCCTCAACTCTGTTTTACTCTATTTCTCCATTCTGTATTTTAATTGTCTTTGTCTTTTCATAAAACCCTGCCTCATACCTCATGAGGAAAAGGATCCTCGTTTGCACTGATGTCGTAAAATTCACTAAAGCTTTTTCCCACTTGCTACAGTTGCTGCTAAAGTGCTTAAACTTTCAGCAGGGGGATGAAATTGATCGGAAGTGGGACAAGAAAGAAATGCAGGATGAGAAGCGACTAGAGCTGTGTTCAAATGCAATAAAACTGTCCATCGCTGGGTCAATGTTTCCTTCCCTCTGCCACTCTGCAAGACACTGGTTCCTCATGCAGAGATTGACAGCCCGGCTGACTAACTGCCAACACGGCAGTAGTGCTGAATAGAGAAATGTGTTTCCTATCAAGCAGAGAGCATTACTAAAGCAGGGAGAGCTTGTGCGAAGAGGAGGAATAATGAGGCCAAGTAGGGAGCTATAAACGTTCATTGTGTTGAGGCTTTTGGAGACAGAGACATAGATGTGGCCTCTGCCAGTGCAGCGCCCTCTGGCATGGTTTTAATGCAATGACTACTGGAGAGGTCACACCAGTTCACAACAAATCAAGCTGCCTATACAGGAAGAGTTCTGGAAGTTAAGTTGTCAGTAGATGTTGAGACGTACTCACACAATGCAAGTATTCTCACTAAAGTCAAAGAACTGTGTTGTAATGTTTCAAATAATTTCCCCGGTGCGGGACAAATAAAGGATTTCTGATTCTGAAAAAGTGGCCTTTTAGACATTGAATTATATGTATTACTTTAAAATCATAGCCCAGAAAGGCCAGATGCTCCTGAGAAAAGGCTGAGCTGTGAACACAGGCATATTTATGGGCACCCACTGACCATAAACTACAGATCTGTGGTTGTGGTACCGTGCAGAAAGAAAGGAGCATCTTCCCAATGCAGAAAGCTCTTTAGATCCATAAGAGCCATAAAGATAGGGGGTGAGCTTTTGACAATGTGTGTGTGTGTGTGTTTCTGTGTGCTTTCCCTTAAAGGTCCCATGTCATGGCCATTTCTACTGATCATAATTCCATTGTTGAGGTCTACTAGAATAGATTTACATTGTGCAATTTTCCAAACTCACATTGGTTTCTCATACAGCATCTCTGTGTAGTATGTGTATTCACTCTCTGTCCTAAACGGCTTGTTGGAGCTCCTGCCCCCACCCCCCCCGCCCCCCCGCCCCCCCCCCTCTATGAGCCCAGTGTGCTCTGATTGGTCAGCTCGCCCACTCTGTTCTGATGAGTCTACCACCGTTACAGCGGAACATCAGTGATTATGTGTTACAATGGCGTTAGCAACCAGAAAATGACACCAGTAAGGACAAACAGATGAGAATGCTGCGTGGGGTCTGGGTGCCGTGTTGGCGGGACGTTGCGCTCGCTGCTGGAGCGGACAGTATGAGCTGGGTTAATTTCCTGCTTGCTGCGTGGGATCTGCGAGACAGCGAGACATCGCGAATGGACGCGGGAAGACGTGCTGCAGCACCCCCATCTGCGAGGCTCCACTAGCACCTGCACCCCCAAACGCGGCGCACCTACAGTGTAAGCGCGCCACAGTTTCGCTGCTGAGAGAGTGTGTGTGTGTGAGGAGCTCCACGGAAATGGGTCCATTTGGGTATGGGCACGTCACTGTACCCAGGAAGACAACAATGGAAAAAGATAAATCTCCAACGAGGCGTTCTGGGGCAGCATAGACAGGTCTTTTCTGTGTTAGAGTTTTACTCGCTACAGGGTGTACTTTGAGGGTTTGTGACTGCAGACCGTTTACATGCAGAAAAACCTTCATAACACACAAGGGTAATAACCGGAAAAGCATGACATGGGACCTTTAAACAAAGCTCGTCTTGGAGGCCATTTGTGTCGTTGTTGTCCCTGTTCTGCCCGACAGTCTGTTGTCGTTCCTTGGCGACCCTCTAAATGGAACGCCAACATCTGACAATGCACCTTTTTGCCAGCTAAATAATGGGAATAATTGTTACTAAGTAACAGCACAGGAAGACGGAAAAACATGTACAAGGGTGCCAAATCATTACTTCAGTTGATAACATTGTAAAAAATATTTAAATATGAATGACTTATTAACCTCTTAAGCACGGCGGTCCCCCCATTGGACCCCTCCCACCGTTTTTTTTTCGAGACAATGTCTCAGGGCTTCTTAACATTTATGAAACTATTAATGTGTAGCACCAGATTAACGGGAAGAATCTCAGCTAACTGAAGATATGAACCATTTTTACCAAAACAAAACACAAGT